AAATACTCTGAGAAGAAGTACCACTGTATTCCCATACGGCACATGACGCACGGGGACTGAGGTTCTCTGAGAGCAGCCGAAGCCCCTGGCAGCTGGGAAGGGCAGGCAGCCCTGCATCTGTTCTGACTCTGAATAGAAGAAGCAATTCTCAGTCCCTGTTACCTGACACCTCTTGCCATCTCTCCATTTGCTTTGTATTTTAAATAGAACTGGTTAATGAACATACTTTCCATGCTCAATGCAATTGACAGTTTAACTCCTTGGGGCCAGGGTCAAATCGCCAGAGAAAGGTCAAGCTGCTAAACACTGGTCCTTGGGATGCAGCACTAGACACAACAACTGACATGTAGAGCAGGAATCCTACAGAACTGAGGTAGAAGTGTCAGGAGGATTGAGGAGATGTGGTCACCACAGAATCATTAAGGTTGGAAAAGACCTCTGAGATCATCGAGTCCAGCCTATGACCTAATAACATCATGTCAACTAGACCCTGGCACTGAGTGCCACATCCAGTCAGGATATGTGGTCACCACAAAATCATTAAGGTTGGAAAAGACCTCTGAGATCATCGAGTCCAGCCTATGACCTAATAACATCATGTCAACTAGACCCTGGCACTGAGTGCCACATCCAGTCTCTCCTTAGACACCTCCACAGATGGTGATTCCACCAGCTCCCTGGGTAGTCCATTCCAGTGTCTAATATCCCTTTCTGTGAAGAAATTCTTCCTAATGTCTAAGTTAAACTTCCCATGGCACAGCCTGAGACTATGCCCTCTCGTCCTAACAAATAACATCATGTCAACTAGACCCTGGCACTGAGTGCCACATCCAGTCTCTCCTTAGACACCTCCACAGATGGTGATTCCACCAGCTCCCTGGGTAGTCCATTCCAGTGTCTAATATCCCTTTCTGTGAAGAAATTCTTCCTAATGTCTAAGTTAAACTTCCCATGGCACAGCCTGAGACTATGCCCTCTCGTCCTAACATACCTGACCTGGGAGAAGAGGCTGACCCCACCTGGTTACAACCTCCTTTCAGAGCTAGTTGTAGACAGTGATAAGGTCACCCCTGAGTGTCCTCTTCTCCAGGCTAAACACCCCCAGCTCCCTCAGCTGCTCATCATATGACTTACTCTTCAGGCCCTTCACCAACTTCATCATCCTTCTCTGGACATGTTCCAGCACCTCAATGTCCCATTCAGGACAACAAAGCACAGCGTTCAGGTGTTCATGATGTGTCAAGAGTTGTTTCCTAGTCTTATAGCATCTGAGTGTTTTACACAGGTAGAACACACCATGCTCCACCCACTGCCCCAAGCTCATCTGGGCAAGGGTTATTCAGACATGTCTCCTCACAGCCCTCTCTGTACAGCTTACTTTTCTCACTCCCAGGAGCTGCCAGACACTGGCCATTTCTCCCACCTACAGACTAAGAAACCAAAGAAGCACAACAGCAGCCACATAATTCTTCCCTCCAGCAAGAAGGACTGGATTAATTGACCCTAACACTGCAGGAGCCAGTGCATATATGCACTGCCACCTCACTGCATCAGCCCAAGGCCCAAGGATTTGCCATCTATTTGGAGACATCTCCAAACACAGAAGAGAAGGCTCCAGAGACCTTAAAACAACCTTCCAGTACCCAAAGGGGTTTTACAAGAACCTGGACAGGGAGTTTTTACAAGGGCTTGTAGTGACAGGACAGGGGCAAATGGCTCCAAAGAGAGTAGGTTTACATTGAATATTAGGAATAAATTCTTTCCTGTGAGGGTAGTGAGGCACTGGAACATATTTCTCAGAGATTTTGTGGATGCCCTAACCCTGGAAGCTTTCAAGGCCACATTAGATAGGACTTTGAGCAATGCAGTCTAGTGGAAGGTGTCCCCTCCCATGGCAAGAAGGTTGGAATTGGATAATCCAATTCATGGCAAGAAGGTTGGAATTGGATAATCCTTAAGGTCCAATCCAACCCACCATGTTCCATGATTCTGTGATTCCAATATTTTTAGGGAACAGCAATATATGTGATTATATCCTATTACTGAGGTGCCTGACATGACTGTATAACAACGCCTGAGTCCTTCACACAAACCTGCTAGCCCTGACTCTCATGCTGGAATGGCAAAGCCAAGAGGAAAAGGGAAAGACATCCTCTTTCTGGCAGGCAAACTTGACTGTTCATATCCTTAAGCCCCCTCAGCCTTCATATCCATTTTCTCTACATTAGTACTGAGATACTAAAAACCCACAGTACATACAACACATATACAATACTCCTGTCTCAACCAACTCCACAAATGTAACCCTCCCAGTGAAGTAAACTTGCTTCCACACCAAAATATCTGTCTTTCTCACACAGACCCCTTATTAGGGTACTGCATACCATTATTACAAGAACAGTTGTTCCACTTCAGCAGGTTTTTAACCAAGTCTCAGGCTTTAAACACAACACATTCAAACACTTCTTCCGAGTACTTTTATTGCCCATTCAGACCTCCTGCAGATTTAAATCTACTCCCTTCTTATGCTGGGGAGGCTGACTTTTACAGGGATACAAAGAAGTGCTCTAATGTTTAACAGAGAAAAGATGCTTTAGCAGGTCAAAAGAGGTGATTCTTCTCCTCTGCTCTCATGAGACCCTACCTGGAATACAGCATGCAGTTCTGGTGTCCTCAACATAAGAAGGACATGGAACTGTTGGAGCAAGTCCAGAGGAGGCCACAAAGTTGATAAGAGGACTGGAGTACCTCCCCTATGAGGACAGACTGAGGGAGTCGGGGCTGTTCAGCCTGGAGAAGAGAAGACTGCATGGAGACCTCAGAGCAACTTGTCAATATCTGAAGGGCCTACAAGGAGCCAGAGAGGGACTCTGTGTTAGGAACTGCAATGATAGGACAAGGGGTAATGAGTTCAAACTGAAGGAGGGAAAGTCTAGGTTGGATGTGAGAAAAAGGTTCTTTCCTGTGAGGGTGGTGAGACACTGGCACAGGTTGCCCAGGGATGTGGTGGCTGCCCTGACCCTGGTGGTGTTCAAGACCAGGCTGTATGAAGCCTTGAGCAACC